ACACACACACACACACGCACACACACACACACACACACCCACCAGGGTCTCTGAACTGGCTGGCAGGACAGGCTGCTGCACACACACACACACACAGAGCAGCATGGGCAGCACAATCCCACTGTAATGCTTCCCAAACCCAGAGAAGGGCACACAGCCCTGTCCTCTTCCTCCCCTCCAGGAAATCAGAATGCAGGTTATCTGGTGAAAAAATGTGTGCCCTCATTTTCACCAGAGAACATGCACAATCCCCTTAAATGTTAGCATGGCCTCTAAACCTGTTAAATATCCATGCTGGGGAGTCCTGGCAGTGGTACACACCACTGCTTGCCAGATAGGGCAGTGTGATGTTTGAGTCCTCCAGATGTGGAAATGTTTCCTCCAGCCCCCCAGCTAGTCCAGCTTGAAGTTTGCTAGTGAATTATGTACACACACAGGATTAAATTCACTGAAGAAATATTAACACACACAAATCTCTCCAGCTGCCAGCACTTAGACCTTTTACGCACCAACACACGACCTGATCCCTCCAGCTGCTGCTGGCACCTGGGCCTTTCAAGACACACACGACACACATACCAGTCCTTCCTGTGGCTGGTCTTTAGATCTACAAGCCCTATGGCCCACAGTCCCTCCAGTTCCTGGCACACAGACCCTTCCATGCAAGTCCCTCCGTGTGCTAGTACCTAGATCCATAAGCCCTGTGGTCTCCCCTGGCTATTGGCACACAGCCCTCTTTTTCAGGTGGGCCTCTCCAGTTTCTGACCCCATTTTCCCCCACTTTCTTTGGATCTTTTGGTCCTTCTCCTAAACCCTATAGTCATTTTTACATAAATCAAAAAGCCTTTTCTCATAGCCCATATCTCAAGCACCTTCAACTTTTCCATAACACTCATGTTAATCATATTTACCCCTTCCTATCAGTTAATAATTATTCAGGCTGACATTCTTGAGGGTTCTGCCTGAGTAGTTCCTCTAATGGACCATCAATCAGTGGCTGAAGCATTCTGGATCCTCATTATTATCTCTGCTGTGACTTCCTCATTAATGTGTGTCTGTGAGGTTCATTTATTACTTTCCTCATTACTTGTTATTTTTTTTATAGTGAGTAGATCACAACCAAATAACATAATGAACCCGACATTCCCACACTCCACAAACTCTCACACTACTGACTGACAGCTGCAGCAGGACTGAGAACTGCTGGGTAGCCTGTGAATACAGGGTCCAGTTCCCCTTTAATATTGACAACTGTGCAATGATAATATAGCAAACTTAGACTTTCCTGTGTTGACTGAAATTCAGGATGCCATTTTCATGTTTTCTTCATGTTTATGTAGATTTGAAGGGCAAGGCAGACACGTCACACAATGTATTTCCATTTTTCTCCATTGCATGACCATACACAGCACTGTCAGACACTCCACTGACTTTAGCATACTATTTTACCAGATGATGAATTATTTTCCAGACTTTACAAACTTTTATCATGATGGTTGAGATAAAAGGAACAGAAAGAACGATGACGTCGTTGTGGTTTTGCAGTGATGTTCATCTTGTGTCTTTGATGCTTGTTTGCATTATCTTCAGAAGGATGTTTTAGTCTAAGTGGGAGAAAAAAAACCAAACCCACATCTTAAAAGTGTATAGGGAAGGGAAGTATGTGTATAATGTAAGAGCATTACTTGCAAAGAAACCAAAACTATTTATTGGAAGGTCATAAATTAGCAGTGTCAAGTATCTGACACTGCACAGAGGTACTGCAACTCAGTGGAGTATCACACACATAGTATTAGTACAAAATTAAAAATGGAACTCTGTTTTCTGGAAGGACATTCCTCTTCAGTTTGTTTACAAAATTTCTCCTGTGGCCTGTGAGTCCCTTTAAACTATGTCACACTTGCTATTTCTAAGACAAGCCTCTACTTAAAGTAAGAGTCCCTGTGCCTCATACTGAATTAAATTTCCTGTAAAAACATGCCCAAATGCTGCTTCTATTCAGTGCACAGCATTTCTGATCCTGTCATCTAGACAGTTTTAACCTGCTGTCTTCTTAACTTTTCCTTATGTCGATATTTCCACGGCTACTTCATGCCTTGCATAAAAAATGGCCTTTGAATGGGAAAATTATTTTTTAGATTTGCTTTTTGTTTTGACATCCTGGGTTGCATTTTTTAGCACCATACCCAGGTATTTTAAGGGGAGATCTCTAGTAGAATAGGCAGTAAAAGATGAAATACAAGTTTACTAAGCAGAAAATATGGTTTAATTACAAATTGAAAATGAACCCCTTTGTTCGAATTATCCAACTCAATATGGGCTGTCATTGGGGCAGAGTGGAGGGGAGTGGAAGAGGAGAACAGATTTTGAATTAAGTGGGAGTTTGGTGTTTGATAAATTAGTGTCACTTAAAGAAGCTATTTAATTCTTAACCTTTAGGCTTCAAAGAGGTGACATCTTCCCATTTACTTCTTACTTAATTTGATTGTTTGCTTTTTAGTGAATATAAATATGTGTGCGTGTGTCTGTACATTTGTTGGAAGAGGCAAAATACTTACTTCTTCTAGGGTCAGGTTCTCCTTAGTCTCCTTTCCTTGTTTGTATTTCTTTTTAAGGCACACTGCAGTTGTGATGGTGACAATAAGCATTACAACAAACACACTTATGGTTGAAGAAACGGCTATTACAGTATTTTCTCGAGTTGAGCCTTTCCTTTCACACTTTTCTCCCATGTACCACCAGTTGTCACCTGCTGGACATCTGGAAAGCAAAAGAAGAAACATCTGATATCACCTAAAGATTAAAGGTGTGAAAAGGTCTGCTTCGGAAAAATGGCATCTCTGATGCAATTTCTATATCCTAAAGCATAATGAAATTTATCTTAAAATTGACTTTTATTTTAAAGTTGTCTTGAGTGGCCTGAGCGGCCCACTGTCCTTATACACCTAAATGTGCTTCTTTCAGCTTCCTGATGTTTCATAGGTTGTGCCTGCAGGGAGAGCCTTTGCCAGAAATCCTAAATGCCTTCCTGACCCCCTTGACCTCTTAATGCTTGGTTGCAGCTGATCTATGGAGCTTCTCTTTTTTTGTAATTTTCAAATTTAAAGAACTTTTAAGATCTGCCTCTGCCATCACCCAACAAGCAGGTAAGAAAAGAAATTTAAAGCCCAGCGGTCATCCAGTTTTAGGACTGAAAACAACCTCCAGGCTTCGATTCTGTCCCTCACCCAGCACCACAATCAGCACATCCACCCCCATCTTTCTAACCTTGGTTATTCCTTATGTATTGACTTTCTAGATCCTGTCTAAGCCACTCATTCAGGACTACCTCACCCCTGAAAACAAGTCCATTTGCAGTGCGCTGCAAAGATATTGCCTGCTGGGGGGGCTCCAGGTGATTCAGCTTGAACAGATGTATCACATTCCCATCATTTCCCTACAAAATTCAGGGTGGAAACTGACTGCTGGTCACACATTTCCATAGGACAGAAAGTAGGTCGCAAAGGCACTAAAAGCTTCAAAGAGTCCAGAGATGTCAGAAAATAAATATTCTCTTTCCATAATTTTGAAATGAGGCATAACATTCGGCATTATTTTTTTATTTTTGTCTTCTTGGAACCACCTCTTGACATTTATTCATATTTGTGACCTGCTTCTGATGAGTTGCACATGAATTTTCTTTTAAAAGGTTTCTAAATGGGGATATATAACACTTAATGAGTCATCCTGACTCCTGTGGCTCTTGGCCTTTACGTTTTCCTCACAGCACTCACCCAGTCTACCTGCCCTGGCACAGCATCTAAGGTTACTATCTTCAGCCTCAGAGCTTATTTGAGAGCTGGAACAATGCTAATCAGGCAGGTAGGTTACCTAAATGGATCCACAGAGAATTAAATAAAAGTTGATATTAATCTTCTTGCAGGGCAAACAATCTTCTCTGGCTTTCACTGCTGGTTTCAAAGGCAAGAGACTACACTTTGGTAATTCATGGTCATAATTTTCACTGCACAATATTTCTGAATCAAATTTTAAAATAATGTCTACAGTGCTTCCTATGTGATAAGTATTGAAAATCTTCTCTAATGATATAAATGCTCTCTTCTTTCAATTACATTTATTCAACTCTTCTACATTTTGCTATAGGGAATTCTAAGGACTTGAAGTAATACATTACTGAAAATAATAAACACATTGCAAATATAATTAACAGGAAAGTCAAGGAGAGTACTTCAAAATGATCAAATGCTGAGGTTAGGAGCTTTGTTGCCCAAATTTGCCATGAGTTCAGTTTCACAGGAGCAGTTGCAAATACTTGCCTTAATCAGCTACAGTCTGTCTTTCGTTTCATTAGCAGCAAAGATTTATTTTGTTAGAAACTTCGATTACTCATCCTAAGACTGCATTTGAGGGCGAATGAAGGCAGTTACCTGCACACCGGTGCTCTGTTTACCATAAGACAGACACCATCGTTTTCACAGGGGTTGTCTGGGCAGAAAGCCGGAACCTCAGGATCTTCGGGCTGGGTGGTGCTGCCTGTTGTGGCACTGGTGGATGCAGCAGTGGTGCTCTCAGCACCAGTGGAGGGCTTGTTGGTGGTAGCAGGGCTAGGGCCAGGTTTGGTGGCGCTGGAACTTGTAGTCGTAACAAAAGGGGGTGTAATGCTCGGCTCGGTTGACAGGAGATGCGAAATATCTGCCCGGTGAACCCACAGGAAATAAGGTCTTTGTTTCACGTTAATTTTCTTCTTATTCTAATGATAATTTCTAATACTAAAGAGCAGTAAGCCTGTCCAAAAGTACAGTGGATAAATAGTCTTTTTTGCCTTTCAGGAGCATGATGTACTTTGGAAATGTCCTCTAGAATTTTTTCAGAAACAGATAGTTTTATTCAAATTAACCTATTCAAAATAATTTGCACGGGATTAGCATTGTTTTATACACCTTCACATGAGATAAAGAAATTATACTGCGTATGTACCTGTTCATAAATTTATTCAAACATATGATTTGATGTTAGATGCAGGCATAATTCAAATACTGCTCAAGTGCAAAGTACATCATGTGTACTTAAAACTACAGCACTAGCAACTTAGTATCTGACACTGTTTACTGCATTGTAAAGAGTATCAGCTATGTTTACATACCTTCCAATGTTAAAAGAATATAAACACCATCTTCTTTAATAAAGTTGCGGCTTCTAAGTCTCTCATGAGTTAAAAATGCGCTCGTTCCAACTCCTGGACCTCTCATGTATTTAGTTCCATTGGGAAAAGTTGCTTCAGACCCCACTTTGTCTGGCCTATCCCAAGTATAATTTAATGAGGATTCTGGGGAAGAAAAAAAGAAAAATATAAAAAGAATGTGAGTGTGAGACTGCTCTGGATTTGTCTCTCAGCAGAAACCTCAACTGCCTGAGATTCCCCACTGATGAGAGGCACAAGACAATGGAGATCTTCAATGATTTGGTTTAGCCTGAGGTACTGAGAAAAGAATCTGCTGGAGAGGAGGTTATTGGAGAATTAGTTGAAAACCACTTGTATTTTCTTTTTAGTTTTTTAAAGTGAGGTGTTCAAGAAGATAAGTAGCACATAAATCATCTGAAACATGAGTTGATGCAGTGTTTCTCAAAAGAGAGCATGTCCTACAGGAGATGTGGGGCACAAGATATTTGAACAACTTAAATGATCACAGACCACTGATGCCTGCTTCATCAAACCCTGTTCTAAAGCTCAAAGCTGACCTGATTGTCCATGAAAGAATCTGACAGAGGGAGAAAACTCTCTGGCCAGATAAAGAGTGTGTGTTAGAAGGCTTCCTTTGGGAATCCTGGACTATTTGCAATATATGAATAAACAAGGGAGAGGAGCAGAGGACAAACAGACTGCATGTCAGCAGGGTCAGAGAAGGAAAAGGGCTATGCACTGTGGCTGTAACAACAGAAAGCACAAGGAAAATGCGCTTTTTCAAACATCTGTGGAGGACATGGTATGTTCTCTCATTTACAGAGAGAACATTAAGTCTTTCTAGATTAGCCACTTTGTTTTCATGTAGAGCCAGTGTCATAGAAAATGGAATGTAAAACTTACTTTTTTTAAAATAATAATATTAATTGTGCCTTCCTTCCTTTCTAGTCTGAAAGTCCAGAAAACTAATTCAGTGGCAGAGATGATTTCTCTTGGCAAAAAGAAGAAAGCTTTTTATGGCTTAAATCCAAACTTTATCCAATGCTGAATATGGGTATTTTCTTTAATATCTCTCTCTGTAGAGATTCCTACAATTTCTCAGAGTTACTTTTTACCTCAACTGCCACCTTTCCAAATTATTGTGGACAGTAGCCCTTACCTTCTCACACCTTGAACAAGTACAGATTACATAATATGAATCAGTACTTTGTCCATCTGGAGGCTTGTGCTGACACCACTGTACCTTTGACAAGAAGGGCAGGGATTTGTTTGATAGTTTCTGCATGTTTATCTAGTATAAACCAACTGTATTGCTAATTCAGTATTTTTTTTCATGACTTTTGGAAACTTCCATTCTCGTTAAAATGGAAATAAATGTATCCTCACAGAGCATATGAAAAAAACTTTAGGAATAGATCATCCACCTGTTTCTTATGCAAATGCAACTTTGGAATCAAGAGTCACAGCTTAACTTGCTTGTAGGTTTAATTTTTTTCTTGTCCACGGGTCAATATTATTGTTGCTGCAAACATATGAAACATTCCAGAAGCTAAAAAATATGCATTAATTTATACATAGAAGAGATGTGATCCCTTGTCTTCTGGTTGTGTTTTACATGTTTGATTTTAACTAACCTGATAATCTCAGGGGGTCTGTTGTTACACTTCTTTGGTTTGACATCCGTTGACGAATATCAGGATGCTGGTCAAGCAGGATCATGGTACCTTGTTGCCATGGACAGGGCCATTTCAAATGATCATCATTCGCTCCAGAAATCAAGGACAAGTATATTCCTAAATTAAATGGGTTACCAGTGGTACCATTTACATACAAGCTGACCTGAAAAGCATATCCTTTACTAGAGTAAAAGGGTGGACTGTATATTAACCCATCTCTCCCTGCTGAACTCGTGTTGAGGAGATGTGCGAAATTTCTGATATGCCAGACATGGTGGGGACACTGAGTTTCTGACAAGTTGATGTCATCAATAGAGAGGCCTCCATTTGATAAGCCACTTCCTTTCATGCCTTGGAACACAACCCGGAATTTACTCGTGACATTCAAAGAAACATGATGGAGCTGCCAGTAGGTCTCAGGTGAACCTGAAAAACAAGGGTAGACATTTCTGAGTCAGCAGTACAGTCAAATACTGCACAGGTCTGTGGACCCTATGCCAACACTGTGTAAGAATTTTTCAGTTCCACTGGCACTGATGTGATGGAATATTTCTTCTGTAGATGTTACTTTTTCAGTTCAAGATCATATCTGCTCAATACAATTTTAACAGAATTAATATGCCTAAGAGCGCTTATTGGTGGGTTTTAAAACTGCTTTTTCTTTTACATTTTTAAATAACATTTAATTAAATTAATCCAGATATTGTGAATATTAAATTCACAAAAATAGTTCCACCTGTATTGTTAAAAAGAAAAAATTCAGAACAAGTTATTTAATAACTGAACAACAACATGCCTCAACATTAAAATGCTCCAGAGGACTCTGGGAACCTAGAACTACAAGACCAGTTCATTCATTTGCTTTCATATTTTTAAATGGCTTGTTGGAAGCTTGCCTATGCAGAAGCACTATTCACCCATCACATGATTAATGGTACAAATGTCAAATTAAAGCCAGTCAATTGCAAAACCTACTTCATGCCATAGAACCTCTCTGAAAGTTTGATGCTGCATCCAAATTATAGTGCAGGCACTAGCAAATTCCACTTGACTTCCAAAGGAGTGTACACAAAAGCAAAGACCTCTGCACAGGGGCCTTGTGAGGTCAATGAAAGTAGAATACCCTTTTTTAAAAGCATGTACACCAAAACAGTTTCTTTTGAGGCCTGGTTTTAGTTCATCTGCACAGAAGACCAGCTGCATTTATTGAACTAGCAGTGCCATCCCCAGGACTCATAGAACTTTTACATCACTCTCCTAACAACCCTAAACACAACACAGTGGATCTCAAATATAAGCCTTAATTTCTTGACATTTTCCATTACTGCTATAAATAGAAGGGAAAAAATTAACACAGAAACAAGAAGAAAAGCACCCTGGTGTTTCCCATGAAATCGACTTCAGAATAAGCTAAAAGATTTTTACATGTAATATGTGCAGTTCAAAAATCCCCAGCTGCCACGGAGCAGTGGGAAGGGTTCAGGGATTGTCCCTAAGTTTCTTGAACATCGTAGTTCAGTGCAAACCCATGAGCAGCTCAGCCAGGGTGTCAGACCATGGATGGACGGGGCTGTAGTGTCACTGTTACTTACTCATCGACTGCATTGGTTTGGGTAACTTCTCACTTGAGAGAAGTGAAACAGCTTGGGGGGAAATGATCTTGAGCCATTCCTAAAAGTTTTGCCACAGGTTGTCAAAATAGGGTGCCTCTCTGGACACACTCATGAGATCAGAGACTTCAAAGGAAATTATTGATTTGGGAAAGCAGAAATGGGAGATGGGGCCTCATAGACACAAAAGAGTGTTTGTGAGGAAGGCTGAAGTCTGGCAAAATTAATCTTGGCATCAAAGTAGGGTTTGAAAGAGTTTGGAGGGCTCAGACTGATGTGAAGTCTACACCTGCCTTAGCAACTCTTGTGTTAAGGATGCCTGTTAGCTCAGGGGGGACACAGAGGGTAAAGCTCATGAGGTGAAGAAGAGAGGAAAAAAGAAAACAAGCACTGGCAGCAGCTGAGCCTAAAGGGACAAAAAGAGACAGAAATTATACCTATTTAGTTAAAGAACTTGCTCAGATCGTTCTGAACTTGGTATAGCTGAAATGGAGACCATATAATAGTTAAATATTTGAGAAAGTAATTTAATCATAAGGTGACTAGCAATTCCAGCTTAAGGAGCTCTTGTCCATTAGCTGACCTTAACTGATCATTTAGTAGGCCACAGGCTCCTAAAACCACAAGAATTTAATCTTCTTCAAACTACAACTCAAATCATGATCTGCTGCTCATATATTTCATTAAGTTATTTAAATTTTATTTATCTTTTTTAACTTATGTATTCCAGGGTACTTTCTTATTAATTGTAATTTACTCTGGTATTCCAACTTCATCAGCTGCTATTGATACCAGCAATTCTAGAACAGTTAAAATGATTGCTCATGGAATTTTAGCTAGTTTGGCAAGAAAACAATCTTGATAATACAAGAGTTTGAAATTTTTGGTAATTTATTATGTTATAGGAAAACAGCTGACTGAGGATCCATCAGGTATAATATCAGCAGCAATGAATCAATTACATACATAGAGAAGAAGCAAAAGAACAGCACTAGGAAATGAGTGACTTTGCCACAATTATTTCCCCCAGTACTTTGAAAAATACTGAGTATAGATTAAAACAAAATGCAAATTTATTCCATACCTTTTATCTCTTCGATGAATCTCAGAGTGCCATTTGGATTGTCTGATGTGTACTCTCTGACCCAGACATTCAGCTGGTCATTCTCATTACCACTGTTATAAAAATAGAATTGTAAGCACTGAAAACCTCTTTTGGGATACAGAATTCGGCTCTCCAGGAAAGCTGTGCTTCCTTGTCTTCCAGCACTGGTGTCGAAATGCATGAAGTAGCCAGAATCTGCCAAAAGCCAATAAGAAATGAGCAGTAGAGGGGAGAGAAAACAGAATTTTCCTGGTGTACTGGATTTCTTAATGCTGTATTGTAATAACTCTAGAAGATACAGTCAGGTCAGGGTTAGGTAGATCCTGTACAAATCTCTGACTGAGGACTGTCATCTGTTCACATTTTCCAAAGGTAGAACTATTCTCTTTGCAGCTTTTGTCCTCATTACATTATCTCTAGCAAATTGTACTCAAAACTGTGGGATTTTACTCTTTACCCAGTGCTAGTAACTCACAGTTGACTCTCTGGAGGTCTGGTTTAAGCTCCTGAACTCTTGGACCATTCTGAGAGGTTGAGATACATCTAGTTAGATTGTCAATTAGATTTTCACCTCAGCCCTGATAATATAAATTTCAAAATCCTACTCCTGTCCAAGGGCTTATTGAGCAATTATCAGAAAGGCAGCAATCTATTTGGTGTGCCTGTATCACAGGTTCAATGCTTTATATAGCATGTGACGCTAAGACTAAAAAACAGATCAAAAGAGATAAGGACATTTGATCCTCTGAAATAAGCAGAAAATCAACATATCACATGATGTCCCTAGGTATGTAGATTTATGCTGCTTAGTTAAAAAATAAACTGTAATTTGTCAAAAAAATAAACAGATAACAAGGCCAAGCTTGAAGGAAACTCATGTCTCTGCAGAAAACACTTCCCAGAAAGATAAGAGTTTTTTCCTCATACCTCTGCATTCTCCCATATTAGTGTGATCAGTATTTGGCCCAGCAGGAACCTGAGACAAACGCTGCCAGTCACTGTTATCATCTGAACTTTGAATCATGCCACATATATTTTCAAGTTCAAAATCGCACGTGTCCATGAAACTTAGGGAGGAGGCTACAATATTAACAAAAAAAATAAAGAATTGTGAATCGCTATTGCATAACACATTTTAATTCTGAAGGTCCAAAGCCATGAGCAAAGAAAGACTAAATGCAAACACCAAGTAATCAGCAGTTACTGATTCAAATATGATCAGCATTCATATACACAATGTTCAGGAACTCAAAACACTTGGTGATTAACACTGACATTAATAAAATGTCATCAGGAACACTCAGGGCCTTCAGCAAGCACAGGAGGGCATCTGCTAATTATCATATCACATCTTTTATTTATGAAAGGAACACTAATACCAACCCAACCCACACACCTTCATATTACAGTCAAAAGGTCCTGAGACTTCCCATTCTTTGTTTTGCTTTCTTTGGGCCTGTCCACACATGGCCACAGATTTTGATACAAGCTCATTTATGTATATCACCTAGAGTGCTTATTTTGAAATATATAAAAGCAAAAGCTATTTGACTGGAATAAACAAATTTTTATTTTCTAATAAAATATATTGAATTGAATTGAAAGCCCAAACTGCCACCCCCCAAAAAACCAAAACAACAAACAAACAGAAACAAAACAAACAAACAAAAACAACAATCCCACCATTTGGCAAAGGTAGATTGTGAAGTAAAATATGAAAGGGAGACCACCATATGAAATATTTTATCTGTCTAAAGCAAATGCTGGATAGATGAGAGATACCACAGACCAGGGTTATTCCTGCTCTTATTTTTGTTTCTCATCCTACCATATCTGAGCTCATGTGTAATAACAGCCATTACTTGAAAACAACTAAGTTAATGAAATGCTTTTTAAACTACGTATAAAATATTGTGGCTCAAACATTTAAAGGTTTCCTTGTATAACAAAAAGACCTTGAGTATCACAAAACTCAACCTCAATAACATGCCAAATGCTTCATTTAAGCTGTAGCTCTGGGAAGCACTTAAGTATGAGCTGCTGCCAAATCAGTTCTACTGCTGAGATATTTTGCTCTGTCCTTACAGAAAGCTAAAAACCCTCTAGAGTCTGCAAGGTAGTCAGAAGTGTTGTATGACTGATATTTTTTAAGATACAGTTCAGTACAATGTTGTAAAAACTAAGAAAAGGCCTTCACAGCAAATGTTGACTGCTGGAGAAAGAAGGCAAGCAAAAATAGAGAATTATTAAATGAAAGAACTCTTTGAAATCAAAATACAAAACAAAGCATGAAATTGATTTGGCCAAACAGGAAGGAAGTAACTTAATTAGAAAGTGCTGGCTGGCATGGAGTGTTGACCTGAATGACAGGAAGACAGAAAAGCAAGACTCAGTAGATTACAATGTATTTCTGAGCTTTATTCCTGAAACAGGTGAAGGGGCAATAAGTGAGGCAGACTCTGAATTCCATCTGCATCAAAAGCCAGATACTTGATTGGTATGTAGTGAAAGACTGGGCTCGGAAGAAAATACAGGGAGGATGAGTGCCAAGTCCTAACTTCCAGAGGCTGAGGGAAAGCTCATGGCCAGCTCTGTCTAGCAGTATGCTCCAAGGGCAAAGCAGACTAAAATCTACTGTTAGCATGCGGCCTGAAAGACAGCAATAAATTACAGACTGGAGCAGCACTAAACTATCAGTCAGAATTTCTTATGCTGTGGGTTGTTTTCTTCAATTTAGGAACCAAGATTTATATTTTCAATGCAATTTCCTGTCCCCATGGGCCTCTAGCAGAAATTTAGCTTAAACATTTCCTTAAATCATGTTCAGCAAATAAAGTAAAAGTAATCTTTTGTGTGGGTGAGGGCTGGGACCTGTGAAGCACCATCCTCCCTGCACAGGTGGGTGATCTGATAATATTTATGTCTCTACAAATATCATCCACATTATGCACATCACATGAAGCCAAGAGATGGACTGGGGAGCTGGGCAGGCCCTGATAGCACCTGAAGGTGGTGGAAGTTTTGTCACTGATTTCAGCAGGACTGGGGCTTTTTTTCATTTGGGAAATGTGCCTATGGGTTAAGAATAAAGTTAAAATGTCATGAAGTATTTTTGTAATGCACGAGAATGATGGAAAATAGATAAGGTTAATGGAGAGGAAGAAGGACCCCATCCCCTGTTAAAGACATCCTTAGCTGTAAGCATTTTTATAATGCCTAATTGACTGTGCAGCGAGTCCTAGAAGCTAAGGCTGCATGTGTGTGTTCAATTTAGACCTAGATGAATAGAAATATTTCCATCAGAATTTTACACTCAAAAAAATGCACCATTTTAATAAACCAGTTTCATAATTGTTTAAGGAAACTGTATAATGAGGCTTAAAATATAATTGTAAACCAGTACTCACTACTTGGGGTATTGTAAAAGTTTTTTTCTGAGTGCCAGGGCACATTGAATGCAGCAACAATTACAGAATTATATTCCAATTTGATAATAGCATTATTTAGACTTCTCTCTTACTTTCATTCAGCTTTGTAAAATAAATCCCACCTGAGCAAAATAACTCTTTTGACCACTTTTGTAAAAGACCAGATTTGAAGCTAAACACAGAAATTTAGAAAGCTTGCATTTTATTTAGAACAGGGCATCTGTACCCTATATGCATGAACAGCCGCTCTGTCTCACAGATTCCATGGAAGTGGAGTAGGTATGACAGCCACAGCAAAGACACTCATTTTTGTGCAGTGTCTGAGCAACAGATGTGGAATAATACAGGGAAAAAAACAAAAGCCTTTGTGCAGAAGCACACATTTTAAACAGCCACCCAAGGGATGAACAAAAATCAGCTGCTGAGAGGAGCTGATTTTTAACTAAAGGTCAGATAAAATTGCACAGAAACCTCAGCTACTCAGCAGTGTTTCTGCAGGAGGGCTGTTATTTCTAGCTGTACCATTATTTCTGGTGTTTTTAACACAACTCACTTCTCTAAATATGTTAGTATCTCTTTCACTTGTGTCTGGATAGGTCCAGCATGTATGTATCACCCTTATTTCTTTCAAATTATTCTTTCAAATAATATAAAATAAATGGAGAAACTTACTGCAATTGTACAGCCGGTTCAGTTTCTGGAGGTCATATTCACTGAAATCCATTCTCTGTCCTATGACATCTATGAAGTCTGGTATGTTGGTGATGATGGTGGGCTCGGTTCCATTCCTGAACGCAGTCTTGCTATAGTGCATCACAGAGTTGTAGTCATAGGGAACATTCAGAAAGTCTGATCTTTTATCATCATATTTATTGAAATTATGTTCTTTACCTAAATGGCAAAATTGAAAGGAAAGATTGTCTGTTGCTCAAGGGAATCAAATCTTGTTGTAAAAACTTACAGTGACAGAGAATCTATCAGATCTCAAAATATATTTTTGTATATTTATTTACTTTTACTTACTCTGTAAAACAATTTTATTTCTAGTCTAGGGCTATTTACTTTCCTCTTTCAGCCACTGATAACTTCTGTGGGATGAAGCAAAGTTTTTGCTACCAAAAAACTTTTTTCCTGTGGAACTCTTTCTAAAATTTGATGGGCTTGTAAGAGTGGAGAGAGTGTTTCAGTACTCAAATTACTGAAATTTGCAACTGTTTCTAATCTGTATTCACTGATCGTCAATTGCTAGTCCTTTTAGGCAACAAAAAACAATTAAGAGTTGTCTAGAATTCTCATTATAGATGTTTTCTGGCATATGAGCAAAAAACCAATTGCTTATTGCCCAATGGGGAGTCAAGATTTAAATCAGTCAAAATACAGTAACTATATTCTGGTCAGTGTAAAAAAAATTGCAGCAGTTTCAAATGTCTCACAATAGTGCAGCTTGTCACTAAAGAGTCAGCAAAAATATAATGGAAATCAAATAACAGAGTCTAAGTAATTTTCTGTAATGTATAATTTCATATGCACCTGACTATTGATCACTGCTAAATAAGAATGCATTAGATTTAATCATTATCCAGCTTTTCAGTCATCTGTGTGTACCTATGTTAGGAAAACATCAAGTCTGTGTATATAACTTTGTTTTTGAACAGCCTGAAAGTCACAGAGGACGACAGCAAGCTAAAGAGGCAGAGACAGAGCAAAGTCCTGAGGAATTCTGTGCCATCTCTCAGGCTTGTGCCAAATATAAAAAATTAAAATTTAAAATTCACAAGCTGCATTGCTAAAGTAACTGCTGGTTTGACATAGACCCTGAAAGGTCTCTCCTGCCTGCCCACCCTCTGCACACTCTGCTCTCTCAGCTCTGCTGCCTGCACCAAGTGTAGCAGACAGGCAGAAAGGAAGGACCAGTGTTTTCACTGGAGATTTTCTCTGGCTTTGGTCACACTGGATTTTTCAGACAGGGGTGGAGGGAGTAGCTATTTTTATTTCACTATGAGCTTCTAGAGTAAGTGTGCTTTTAGAGTATTCATTTAAACAAACTAGATTATCCTCTTCTGCTGCTCTGTGGTACAACACGTAGCATAGCAGGACTCAGATTTCTAATTAGAGCTTCAGAACAGTCATGGCAAAAGGAATTACAACAGAAACAACAAATGAGAATTTCTGTTTCAAATAGATGCCCCTTTATATCTAATTTATTGATATACTGGCTTTGAAAAGTAAGTCCAGGTGAGAGAATAGTGTGACCACCAAAAGATGGCTGTAAGGAATGTTCCACAGCTAAACTGCTAACACCAGAGATTGAAAGGAAAAGCAGAGGAGTGACTGACTGACCAGACTGAATCCTGTCCCAGACGATGGTCACATAGTCATCCCGGTCAGACCGTGACTGCTCATGCCAGAATCCCAGGGCATGCAGGAATTCATGCTGGATTGTCCCAATCCTGTCACAGTTGGCTCCGATGGAGAGTTGCTGCAAGCCCATTTGCATGTTTCCCACTGAGGACCAGCAGCTGGCATTGACATTAAATGAGAGAGGGCTCTGTGAGATACACACCATCCCCACGCCATGCAAACCTCAAAACCAGTCTATTCAATATTTTTTTTTTTTTTTAACCTGGGCATTGAAGTCACATTTTGTTACAGAGAGCACTTTTTCCATTGATCTGCTCCTTATCATACCCCTTCCTCTCACACTTAGTTCTTTTCCAATGAACAAGTTCCTCATCTCTGGCTCTATTTGAAGAAAAATGTTGAGCTGTTTGTGACAAAAGAAAACTGATGATGATTTCTTTGGTACTCTGGAACATCACAGGTTGTGGACACCTAATTTAGAGCAGTTAAATTACTGGAAATTAACAATTTTCAGCTAGACGACAATATGTGACTGTGAGCACACTTTGAGCCTGTCCCTATCATAAGGAGAAGTGGGTTCATGAACATTCTCTCCTCTGCCTGCTTTTGTCTGTACTGTTTTGGCCTTGTACTTTGCATGGGGCTGTGGCTGCCAGGCAAGGTGTGCATGGTGTGTTTATCTTCAAACAGATTGGTGGATTTGACAGTACTTTTCACAAGCTCTTTTCTTCCTGGCTCTCTATGAGCTGCTGTGCTAGAGCACTTGCTGCTCTCACACACTCCCAAGTAAGAGCAAAACTGCAGCTGTGCTGCAAATTTTTATTAAGGGGTGAAAGAATTTAGTGAGTTATCTGCACGGGCCAATAAAATGGCACCCCATGTCCACAAACTAGCAGGCATGGAGAGCTACATTTAAATTGATATTTTATGCAGCAAATAAATCAATACTTACCCAATGAAGTACATAAAATTAATGGGGCACAAAATATGCCATAGGATTTGCAGTCCTACCACCCCAGAAAATTAAAAATACAAGCACACCATATGCTTTCAAACTCCGTAACTTATTAGTGCAACATATTCTCCAGTATTTCATTTTCCGCAGAGCAACGCAGGCTTTGCCTATTGATTACTCATTAAAATCACAACATGAGACCTGGTAAGGAGCACGTGTAGTATCCATAATTTCAAGGTCTTTCCTTGAAAAAGGCCTCATGTTGATTCTTGTGTTGTGCAGAAGTCCATCACAGGCCTGGGTCCACCTCCTACCAAAGCCACCTCTGGTTTCACAGCTGCCACGCAGTGCACAGTGGGCTACAGCAGGCACACCCAAGACACCTGGCAAAAAGTAACATCCAAATAGCAGTAGATGCAGCTGCCCCTTGCCTTTGGTGTGCCAAATGCCTACAACACTATCATTCAACAGCCATAGAGGGAGTAAATACATGTTCTGTACCACCTTGCACTGAGAATAAAGCTTAGGTGAATGAGACATGGTGCTCCAGAGCAATGGGCACATAGAACCCTGTGTCAGCAGTGTCTTCTGGAGGGCAGAAAGCAAAGTCACAGCTTTCCCCAGGTGTGGGAGAGCTGTACTGCCTGTGACTCAATGGTTCCTATTGCTATCAGAGGCTGAAGGAACAGGGAAGTACTTGCTCTGACTAATCCCACCATCCTCTTTTGGGGCCGTAAATAGACACACTCCGTCAGTTGCAGTGATGCTGCTTATTTCGGGCACATTTTTATACTAATGCCCTGCTACTAACTTTCTTCCCACAGTATCACAGATCACCAATATCAGCTCACAGACACTTTGACTTACCAGCACCAAGCTGGTAGCCAGGGATCTGTGTCAATCCACTCCTGCACAGATTTCCTTTGCCGTGGCCAACAGTGGCAAAGAGCTGAAGCGGCCTCCCAGGAGTTCTCCATGAAAACCTGGTTTTCCATGTGGAAATACTAGATATGATGTTCATCCTCCCTGGTCTGTTAATCATTTGATTCTACCACACCATGCTAGTTTTGCTGCTGAATGAATCCTGCTCTTCTTGAGAAAAGTAAGGTGAAATGGCAGATCCTTTGCAGGTATCCAGACTCCTCTGTGAACTTTTCAGTCACATCTTGCCACATCTGATTATCCTGCATTTCTGTAATTCAGTTGTAAACGGGACATAATATAATACTGGTAGTAGCCAAGGTGAATGATAGTTGAAGAATGTATACAGGGAGAGGGCTCTTTGTTCAGGGTCTTGTTGCACTCTACATACACCAGAGACGACAAATGCATTTTTACACAGGCCAGTCAATACAACAAAAGACAGCTGGCTTCCTTTCTGGCTGACTTCATTTGAATTTAAAAGGGTAATCCAGATGAGTTTATGGCCTACTTCAAATCTTTTTGACACAAAAGTTCCTCCACATTCCTCTGTTTTATAGATGCAAGCCAAGATCAGAAAGGTAAAGATGTGATTTATCAACATTTGCTTGGTGTGGTAAAATTTATGTTGCCAGGAACTCTGTGTGCCTGTCTGCACTGTACCCTCTGGGCTGAAGTCTTTAGTCAGCTAATAGAAGAGTCCTAAAAAACTCCAAAACATTAAGAAAAACAGAGCAAAAATGGGTTGTTTTACCCAGCTTGCACCTTGTTCCATTACACCAGAAGTAAGGAATGGGTTGAAATGAAAGCAGTTCATTCAGGGTCAGTCCTGATTTCTTTGTACAACCCAAGATGACTCATTGAAACTGGATGGACCTTTTCAGGAGACTGCACCACTTAGCTCCCACCTTTTTAAAAGTTCTGCTGTGGATGTGTCAGCTAAGGTGATGGAAACACTTCAGGGCAAGCCACTCACCAGGCAGTGAGGGCAAGATATGTTATCCATCTGGAAGGATTCATCTTCTTCATCACCATGACTCATCTATTTTTTAATAGACATATAAATGAAACATTGCACAGAGGCCTCCTACTTGCCACAGGCTAAATATTATAGTTCTTTTTCAGGTACAATTATTAGCAAATTCAATGCATACTTTAGGGGATGAAGGATTACAAAATGAAGTTTCCATTTTGGTCAAAAAGCTGGAGTCATTAGCACAGGAAAATGCATTACTCCCTGAGTCTCTAATTATACATCTTTTAGAGATGAATTTCAGTGTCATGTGTACAGCATGAACAGCAGCAAATACGAAGAACACCAAAGACACCAAAGAAAATTTGAAACAATTATCTGCTACAAATATCTCAGAACAAGCCAAAGGGAAAGAGAAACATTTTTATTATCAGAAAATCTTTTCCCATTTATGACTGCATTCTCATATCAGGAAATGAATTTCTGAAAGCAAATTTCCTCACCAGGCTATCAAGCTCTCCCTGTTCTCCTTTCCAGTAAGAGAAATGGTTCAGCATAGAGTGAAGAATATATTTGTTCTTGTTGCACTGTTTTGACAGAGAATGTCTTACAAGAAAAGAAGTTGGGGCAATTTTGACTTCTTTACTGGAGTCTTATTTTGCAAAATTTAAGATGAAATAGCATGACTATTCATCAAAAGAGGTAAATAAAGTAAAACATCAGCAAAATATCTCAGTGCTGTACAGAATTTAAAAATATAGCTCTTTTATCTGAATGCTTATGTGACATTGTTCAAGTGCAATTCCATTGTTACATTCAAACAAATTCATAGCCCCACAGTGAGAACTATCATATTTCTCCTTGGTTTTTCTTTTCCTCTAGAAGCCAAGGTATACTAGGAATGACCAGCTGAAAGTGATAGATACCCCATATATCCAAAGATCAGTCAAGAGCATAATTGCTTTGTTTCTGATAGCTTTTACCAGGTCCAGTAAAATGCCTCTTAAAGGACTTGATTTCTTCTTATATTTAAGAGTAAATATCAGTAGAAATTGTTCATTGCTACTAAGGTAATACCTCTTTTGGAAACTATGACAGTTTATAAAGGACTGTGGGAAAATGGAGACAACAAAAATGTAAAATGATGATAATTATATGACTTTTAGAGTGAATACTGGCCATGAGAATAGTCTGAAAGTAAACATAATGAAAGCTATTTTGAATTGCTTCTCTTACCCACTTCCTTTGAACACAGATATGTAATTCTTTTCCCCTTCCCAAGGTTTGAAGTCAATACAGGTTTTCAGTCGATACTGTTCAAATGCCTTGAGGATGACTCCCTTAGCATTCATTTCTGCAAAGCAAACAGTGCTCTTGTCAATACTGAATTGAAAGATTTCTGCTATTGTCCATATGGAGCGAATCCCAAGGGTGGGTCTTGCTCCAGCAATCTTTGATCAAAATAAACAGAATTTTTGTTGGATTAAGACCCAAGGGGGGACATAAATTAATAAAATTAATTAATATAAAACATAAATTAGGGTCTTGCAACACTGTATCTTGCTCTTGTTTTGCTCCTATGTATTTTTGAATTGGTAGTTATGTATCAAATATGACATGATGAGTATTTAGAAGGATAGTGTGGGGGGGGGTTAATTTTGTAGATTCTTTCATTTATTTTTTGAGATTTATGTAAATAAGTATTAAATAGATAGGAAATGAAGACTTCATGTTTTACCTAGTACAGAATGCAGGCTACAGATCCCTCACTGAATTTCTCCAGGACTTGAATTTTTCAGATTATATCTGTGTTATCTCCTCTAAGCAACTTGCATAGTTTCAACACAAAGACTTAAAGGATGGAGTCAAATTATGATCTCAGTGTCTCTGACTCACATTAGGGGACTCGGCAATGTGTCAATGTAAACTGTCAGAATGCCATTTTGCCTTCACTCTTGTAAATGATGTAAATGGCCAGGTAAGCTTCCTGTCCTTAAAAGTATCTTCAGTGCCTTCTTTTCACTTCTGCTTTGTAGAGTTTCACGTCTCAGACACAAGTTTTCAAAACCAAAACAATCTGCTGGGCCCTAGCAGGATAATAATCCAAGGAAAGAGGTGAGCCAGCACTAAGATTATAAATCCCGTCTGTGCATGCTCAGCCCCATTCCTGCCGCGGGAAATGACCTGCTGTAGATTAAAAGAGGAAAGGACACCACAGGAGCTTTATCAACCTGTGTTTAACAGCTCAATCAACACAAAATACAGATATTGTGAAGGGCAAGTACTGTACCCAGGCTGTCCTCAAGGACGTAAGGGATAACATGGGGCCACCGATAGTTGTCACCAATGATAGAGTTTCGTTCCTGCATCCAAGAAAGAAAACAAGTATGCAGTCCTTAGTAAAAAAGGGATTTAGCATCAGGGACTACAATAGTGCTAAAGCAAACCACAATTCCAAGTAAGACCAAAAGGAAAACAGTGAGCTCAAAAGCCTTGAAAGATTATTCAGAGATCTGAGGTTTGGGTTTGAAATCCCTTCATGCTCTTCTACCAGTGTCTCCAACTTTTGCTGCATTTTCTCTATAGAAATTACCCAAGCTTCTGCTCCTATGGGAAGCCTTAAGATTTAAATCCTGAAAACTGTACAGAGATTAATAGTTTTGTAATTTTCCATAGTCCAAGGGTTTGTTTCTGTGTCTTTAGCAAGTGCTGTCCTTGCTTCCAGTGACATATTCAGTGTATCTCCCAAAAGGGAGAGTAAAACACTTTTTTCAGACTACTTTCAGAGTGCAAGACACATTGGGGGTTTCCTACTAGATATTTTTGAGATGTAAATGTAATTATTTTATTTCATTAATCAGATAAGGATTCTGGCCAGATGCCTTAAAATGTGGTATTAGAGATCTAAATTTTTCATTGGTTTTAGTCAATCTATTTACAGGATGAAGGTTTTCCAGTGTTTTTTTCCAGTAAATTTACCTGGCTCAGAATAAATATTGTACAGATAAATTAAGGATTCTTTTTTATACAAACCTGCCTGGATGATAATCAGTGCTGCCTAATCTCTTAAAAGTGACAATGTAAAAAAGGAAAGAAGAAGCTAGTAATATTGATCTAATCACTGAAGAGATCTCATGTTGGATAATGTTTCTGCAAATGCTGCTGACTCCTTCACTGTCTATGACATTTTGTAGAATTCCATCCCCAATCATCTTCAGTTTATTGTTACATAAACAGTATTTATTGTTTGTAAGAGCAGGATGCATCTGTTATTTCCATGCCAGTGATACTTTATATTTAAGTCGATGACATATTTTTGGCTTTGTATTTTATATTTGAACTCACCCCAGGAAGTTTGATGTCTCCCTCAAAAAGGTCTAGTCCTAAAGCTAAAGGGAAGAGGAGATTAACATTCGGTTATTGTATTGATCTGTGACTACTATAATGAAAATTATAAAAAAAAATTTGAGACTAAATTTTGAAAAACCTTGATTTATGTCGAAGATGTCCTGATCAATTCCTCCATCTACGTCTATTTCTGAAAAGTAAAAAGACAAGTGAGGTATGACATTAGCCCTTGCTGTTATCTTTATGAAGTGTGAACATTAATGCAATAACAATAACAGTAATTATAAATCTGTGTCTGTCCTAGCGATGTTTATGAGCAGCTGGTTTTGTTGACTGCCTCCCATGCATACAAATAGATCTCTAAACAGAACTCACCAGTTGTCTCTGGAGCAGGCTGGGGAGGGGAAAGAAAAAAAGATATTATTAGAAAGGCACATAATGAAATGCAGCTCGCGTTACTTTCTCAACAGTATTAGAGATGTGATTCAAGCTCAACTGACAGCACTTAGCACATGGCTTTGTCTTGGATTGACTGCATCCACTGCCTCCTCATTTGACTGGAAATCTGTATTTCCAGCTTTGGAAAGTATTTGCAGCTGTGTGCCCTCCCCACCTCACGGTGTCCAACAAGTAATTCAGCCAGTACTGCTTCTGTGGAGGTTTCACAGCTGCTTTTCTCTAACAACTCAGGTAGTGCTAAATTGTCCTTCACAAAGGGGGAAAAAAGGAGCCTATTATTTCTATGGAATCAAGTATTGCTACTGGTCAGCAGCTGTGTAGAACCTCTGGAAGCTATGCTGAACTTCTCATCACAAATCTGAAGACTGGGGGAGAGAACGAGTGGTCTGGTGTTACACTGAGAGGCTTTGAAGGACTGGGTACACAGCCCCATTTCAGTGCCCTGGACTCCATTTACCTGAGTAGTAACTACTCAAACACTCCCTCTGCAACATGGAGAATCCACAGACCATAATGAGATACAGAGACATATGATGAGATATACATAGAACAATTTCCTTGCCATAACATGCCTGAAGAATCTAATCTTAATTCTTTTATTTGACTGGACACTTCATTTTTGGACTTCCTTGGACATACTTGACATAACACTACATAACTATTTCTCACACAGTGAGTAAAATCATGAACAGCCTTTCTAAGCAATCGCTCCTGAGTGTCTTGTATTTGTATATTTGAATAGAAGTTCACAAATGAAGATAAAAAACATCTTTATATTCTAAAATAAATGTAACAGCAATTCTGGAAAAAAGTGACTGATTTTTACTTTTTACCAAAAACTTTTCATTTACACCCTGTGTTTCTTCCTCCATATAAATAATTTATTTTCTGTACATGTAGCTTTACATGTAGGGCTTCTTTTTGCAGTGTGATAAGCATCTGCAACTTCCACTAGAAGTAATGAACAACACAAAATCAGAATGCTGAAAAACAGCAAAAATCAAGTCCATGCAGTCCCTTGGAACATTAATTGTGGTAATCTCTAACATCTCTACAATGTGTAAGACATCACTAAGGCCATAATATTCAAGAGAGATTCAAATGCACGTGTTCTTCTAGACATGAGTTTCAGCACATAGTGATGGGAACAATTTTGAGGCAAACAACTGTGAGCCCTAAATTGATTTAATATAAAAATTTTAACCAAACACAGAAAAAAAATCCTACTTCCCATGAAATTTAAAGGTTCAGAAAGAAAGTTTTGAATTGTCAGAATGCCCTATTTTAGCTTCATAATGAAAGATTAATTTTTAATCTGAAATTACTGTCTTTTAAAAACTTCAGCAAATGGCAGAAAAAAAATATTGTAAATACAAAGGCCAGAAATCTCATTTTATGATTCACCTGAACAAAAATTCACTCAAATTGCTGCTTCACAGTTTTTGTCAGATTTTGATCATTTAATCTGGTTGCCTAAGAGAAGAAAACCATTTTTGCCAAACCAAGCAGAAGCTATCATTTCTACGCCTAAGAAACATAATTGGTATCAGCTGGCACAGCAAACATTTAATATTTAACTGTTATATAAACAGCCAAAGTTTTTAATCAGCTTCTGCTTCCTTTTTCTTTTTTTAATGAAAGCTACCACTCACATATGTCCTTGCCCAGTCTAAAGTCAGGATTTTGACCTTGAAGGGTCAAAATTCAGAAAACACAGAGTAGAATCTGTTTCCTGAAAATTCCTGAATCTGTTTCCTGCTTCAGCACTTTACATTTTTGGATGTTTTAAATTTGTCATATTTTAAGCATGGTGACTTAAAAACCCAGTATCACTGCGGAAAAGTGACTGACTCCATTGAAAAACCCCATTGTCCAGAGCTGGACAGATGCAAATGCTGAAGGATTGATATTGATCTCACATTTCAAAATTAAACTGGTATTATTCAGGTTTACATTGATACCTGAGAAATAGGACAGAGACTTTAGAAAAAAACCCACATATATATATATACACATACATATATACACACATATATACAGCCTAATAACTGCAGATATCTTGTTCAGACAAGCCATCTATCCATCTGAAATGTCAATAGACTCCTCCTACATGTTGAAGTTTCATTGCACATATATTGTACCATTACAGTTTGTTATCACTGCATAAGGCAATTCATTATAACTGTGCATGAAACAGTATCTACATATTCAAGATTTGAAATGAAGGTGCAGCTTGTAAAACAAGTTGCAAGTACATGGTCAAAGTGTGCAACACACGTTTTAAAGACTTCATTTGCTTTTAAACTCCCACTCACAGATTTCTGTAAAGAACAAAACTACGAGTAAAGCTTCCAATATCAAAAAAATAAAATCATATTATTGCATTTTAAATTAAAAAATATTGATAGAGGAGAAGAATCACACCCATATATGCTGAATCCCCTTATAACCATTAATGGTAAATAAAATTTTTCTCCAGTTCCAATAACTATAAACTACAATGTACCCATATCTACTAATCAGGAAGTATAACTGTCCTAAAGGTACAAACCGAGTAATTCCTGGAAAAGTTCCTCTAGCAGCAGCAAAAGCTCACAAACTGAGATCAGTAGCTAAGTACAGTGGTACTTTTGGTGCACAAATCAAAATGTGACCCCATGACTGAACAATATCAAATGCAAAAACAGTGAAATCCAGGCTGGTCCTCAGTGTCTGGAAACTGCCACTGAATATTTTATACTGAAGGAATTCCTGCGATCACTTCTTTCCACTGTGTTCCAAATAAAACTAGGTCTTTAGTCCTGTGAATCTCAACAGCAAAATACTCTGTTTCAAAAGAAGCACCTCTGCATATAAGTATCACTCAATGATGTTGAAGTGACTTTGGTCTCAATAACAATCTGACAAAATATATGATGCATTTCTAGTCTGTGAAAGTATTGTAAACACACAAAAAATACACAGTTCATAGTCTCGTACAGAGGAAGGTTGTGTTAGCTGAGGTGTACCTAAAAGGTAGTCTAATCTACACAAACACAAATTTCTGAATTTTTTAGTATCAGTCTGTAATTTTGGACATGGAAAACATGACAGTTAAGACATTGTAATGGTTGGTTAAACCATGGCTTGTGAGACCACATTTAATTGACAAAAAGTTCAAGTATGTCTTGGACAGATGGAAACATCTCACCTATTGTAATCATGTAAAAATCAGGTTAAGGGACTCAGTAATCAATCAAGAAACAAATGGATAATTCTTATGTGCCAAGAATATCTATGGCACCACCATGATGCCCTGGCATCACCATAAGATGATCCACCTCACCTAGTCTAGACATCTGTTCAGATGGAATATACTCATCTAGTTTGGATGAGACTCCTGACTTACCAGTGACTCCTCCAGACTATTTTAGTATTAGCATCCAGAAACTTGAAATTAGCTCTTCCTGGCCATAGAACACATGGACACGAAATAATTAGCCCTGGTGGTCAGAAGCCACTTTCACACAAGACCTAGTTTTTAGGAATCTGTTTGATGTCAGGAAACTTCTGGATGTTAGTAACACCCTGTACCACCTACTATAGGTTTTAACAAAGAATCTAAACAAGACCTAGGTTCGAGTTTCCAAAAGACTGGGGCAGAAGCACAGGTAGTGGGAATAGTAGGGTGGGATGGGATTGGGCTGATGGGGAATACAGGAGGACTATGGGAAAGGTAGGAATGTGAGGTTGAGTACTTAACTTAGGGAGATGTATGAACATGTGTCAGCGGAGAGGAAGAAGATAAGGCTGCCGCAGATAGTTACGTTGCATAACTTAGATAATGTTACTGCACTTAGGTAGTGTCATAAAAAGTAATACCTTACTCTGTAGATTACCCTGAAGATATGAACAGCTGAAACAAACTTTCAAGAACCTTCCTGGTTTTGTTCTCTGAACTAATTATATTGTGCATCACCAGAAGTTCCTGACCTCTCCAACAATGCCTCCCAACATAAGCAAAATGCTACATTTCACTAAAAAAGACAGGGAATATCAAAATCTCAGCTGTTACTTTTTGACCTGAAATACCCAGTGGCTAAAAAAGTATAAATTTCAGTATCAATTATATTGTGTTTCAGCAAAAAACCCAAACAAACAAAGACCAAAAAACCACCACACACACAAAAAAAAAACAACAAAAAAAAACCCCAAAAAACACACCAAATCATTCAGACATGGACAATTAAAATAAATTTCAGTTCTTGATTTACCAGTTACCAGACAGTAACAGCAAGTTACAGACTTGCTGTTCTGGTAACTGTTAATACTAATGGACATTTTGCTTAGATGGGGAAGATCATAGATCGGCTATACATCTTTCCATGTATAGCCGATCTATGAAAAATAGCAACACTAAAACCCCAAGGAAGCAGAAATAATTTATGTCTCCCATGCAGACAACAACAGAATTATATTGATTCTGCAAAATAAGAATTAAATATTTTCCTTTCAAGCTCATCTTAAACTGCAGTATTTGCCCAGTCATATAAAGAATATATATTCTTTGTTTTCTTACCAGACTCCAGACCACCTGAAGAAGGAGACAAGTTAGAAGACCAGAAAACAAGCCCATGTTGTTCTCTGGTCTACAGCTGTGTGGACAGAATTTTACACCAACTTGGTATTTAAGACAGTAAATATCATAAATCAAAACCTTTGTCCTCTCAACAGCGATTAACTCACCTACCATGCCTGCTTTTTTCATGTCAAGTAAGAACATCATTGTCAAGTAAGTCCATCATTACTGTACTGCAATAACTAACAGAAACACTTTAATTATTTTTAAGAACAGCTGTGAGAAAAAGCATTGGAGAGAAATTGAAATATAGGATGAAGTGGAAATAAGAAAAAGGAAATACAAGGGAAGGACACACTGAAACACAGGAAATTCCATCTAAATTTAAGAAAAAAAGTTTTTTTTCTTATTGTGTTTTTAAGCACTGGGACAAGTTGCCCAGAGAAGTTGTGGAGTCTCTCTCTTGATGACAATCAAAACACAACCAGACACAGATCTGAGTGACCTGCTGCAGGTAACCCTGCAGCATGACTGCAGAGGAATTGAAGTAGGAGATCTCCAGAGGTGCCTTCCCAACTCAGTCATTCTGATTCAGAGAATAAAGCTGGCACTAAAACCCTTTGAACAACAAAAAACTAGCAAGACTCTTGGCAAAACATTAATATATCAATAATTGTGCATTTTTTGACAGAAATTGAAAATGAGAAATGTGTGTGCATTAAAAAAAAACTGTCAGCAACATAATTTCAGTGTCCTGCTTTTGGAAAATGCAAAGCTATTTCTGTTGTTGGTATATGCAAGACACTGCATTTATCAGTAACATAAATAATGGCATCCTTCTGGATTACTTGAAGATTCCATTCACATTAATTTTTTAAATGTCAGTACCATTATACTGTCACCACTGCCTGTGACTCTTGGGTATTTCTTTCAACTCTAACCATCCCTTCCACTTCCTAGCTGTCAGTGGATGCTGGAATTGCCAAAGGTTCTTCCTATGCTTAAACTGCAGGTACTTGTGGTAATTGTATGGTCAGGCTTTGCTAATCTTTTTCTTTGCCAGACCAGCTACTTGTATAGACCAACACAAAAATTAAGAATGCCATTTAGGTTTTTTTTTTGTAAATTCAGACTCACAAAATTATCATATCAAAATTAATAGCACGTTGCATTCTACTTCAAGTATCAGAGCTGATAAAAAAGAAAGATCCTAAGTAATGAAGACACCTAAGCCATTTGTAGCTGCTCAGATCCACACTTGTTTCATTGCTGATGCATTGAGAAGCAGCAGTTTTATATATTACTGTTCTTATAATGGTATGGTCTTTTTCTATGAAACCAGCTAAATATTATAATCCCCTACTCACCAATAATGATGGTGTCAACTGCTCTGAAATCAGTGATATTTAGTAGGTCAAAAAGCTCTTTGGTAAGATTTCTTCTGCAAGTTCACCAGCCCTTGAATTCTCTATGTTGCCATCTCCAGCTGGTAGGAGATGATTGGTACTGGTTCTGGAGGATTCCTACTCAGAAAATACCTGAAACCCAACTGTGATTGCAAAACAGATTTGTTTTTATTAGATGCAGTAGCAAATAATACATACCAACCCCCAGATTCTTTGAAAAGCCACTGAGCAGGAGAACGAGATGGAGCATGGTGCTCAGGTGGGAGGGGCAGGCAGACACTGCACCTTCAGGGAGTCCCCTGGATCCAAATGGCGTGCATCTTGTCCTTTTCAGCCCCTCCACCCCAGAACCACACCTCATGCCTCCTCCTCTTGGAGTGGAATTTTTCCAGTTACGAGGACATCTCACACTTGGCCAGAGTGTGAGATGAGGCCACAACGGCTCATGATAGCACCTCCATGTTAACAACAGCTCCATTGTGTATTGTTCTTCTCTCACAGGTTAAGTTCCCAACACATTGTTTCTCTTAAGGGTCAAGTTCCCACCAGTTAAGCAATAAGGTTTTCTTCATTGCCTTTTCTTCATTGTCTGGTCGACGTGCCCAGCAGCAGACCAAACATGGCAGGGCCTTAGACATGACTTTGGTCCAGGACACATGTGACCTCATGATCCACCGTTGGAACATGTCAATATTTCACCATATGAACAACAGCACAATGCAACGTAGTATTAAGTATCAGTTCTATGATACTAAACTAGAAATACAACAAATAATACAGAGAAACCCAATACTTAAGGCACAATGTAATACTAATCCCTTTTTCAACCAATTCCAGCCTCATGTCCCTCCAGCAAAGAGATTCCAACTAGTATCTTCTGCAAGGTGTTGAGTAAGTGTCCATAATTCCCGTAGTTGTGCACGGACAGAGTTAGAACAGTCACTTAAGTTTACACAACATAACTTATCAAAATCTTCTCACCCATGCTCATGTGTTAAAAGTTAAAAATCAATTGCTGCTTGATTTTGTATCATAGCATGTTTAATGCTGTCTACATCAATTAACAAATCAGACATAGCTGTACTGGTAGCATTGCTAAACTTTGCTAACCAACAACTAACTCTATTCAGTCTCATGAGGGCTTGTGCACTTGCAGCCCCAGGAGCCAACGAAGAGGCAGTGATTGTCTTGGTAGTGTTCTGGAATTTAGCTGTATCTCTGTAGTCAGGAGTAAAAGCATGTATGCTCTGAGTATGACAGTGGTGAGTTTGGTTTTGTTGGATGCATACTGAAGTAGTTATATTTGAAGATAAGAGGGTTAGTTTTCTTACAGTGCATGGACTACCTTTAATTGCCATTGGCACTCTGGCCTAAGCTCAGTCCCCAGATTAAGAAGACACCTTGTGGGAGTTGTATACATGTACTAAAGCTCCGGGTTAGCTGTGCTATGGTTGAATTATACCAGTGTGAAGTATTTTAATACCGTGGTATTGTGGCACTGACCCACCAAGTTATAGGGCTATTTCTTGTGCTAATAAATTTAAAGGTGGTACAACTATCTGCATTCAAGGTGCCTAAAATCCACAGCTCCTTTGGGGGTAGAGTGGGGGATTTCCTGAGGTGGGACAGCTGTTGCCAGAATCCGGTAGCTGGACAGGACACGGATGCAGGGGTGCTGTCACGTAACTGTTACAGCTTGTGGGCAGTGAGAAGGACACTGATCAGACACATGGTGAATGGATTCTGAGGCACTGCAGTGCTAAGGTATCATAAGGTCTGGCTGCCTTAGCCAGAGTCACCCAGATGTTTTCTCCAAGGGTGGTATGAGTCTGAGGTACCCTCTTAAAACAAACAGAAGAAAAGTCACCTCCCCAACCCTTCTCCTACTCCCACAGACATAAGTTTTTAGCAGGTACTCAGCACCAGTGCTGTTCCCCTGGAATGGTGATAGTAACCTGTTTTGCTTCTGCTGCTATCACCTCAGCAGCCACAGAACCAGGTTCCATGGAGGGTTGATACTACCTACACCTTTGCACCTGAAAAGTAAAACTGCACAGGACCTTGAATGGATAGAGAGGGCATAATCCAAAAGAAAACTGACTCAATAGTTCCACTGGGGAGTATATGAGTAGAAGGTGTGGTGTTCCTAATACCTAAAGTGAGTGGATGTTAATTTTCCTATTGTTTAAAAGTGTTTATTGTTTTATAGTGCAACTATAGAATAACTACTCTCGAACAAAGTAAAATCAATTTAAAATCAAACCATATACATCTGAAAATGTCTCTGCTTTTCTCATCCTTCCTCTACAAAGAGATTTTTAATCAGGAGGATTTTAGTTTTATCCAAAGGCATCCAGCCCATATGTGCCAAAACCATCCCACAACGATAATAAAGTACAGTCAGCAGGACAATAGGGAGTGTTGTTTCAACATTGGCATACACTGCAAAGGAGAGGAAAGATAACTTCCAGAACAATAGTTTTATTCAACAATGGTGAGAAATATGAACTGAGTTTTGTTTTAAATCAATAGTGAAGGCAGGTCAGTATAACATTACAAATCACAAAAATAGAAAAAGTAAGAAAATTACTTAAAGTGATGATTATAAGTAAAGTAATATTATTAAAATGTGAGACCAAGCTATGGAAAATATTTTTTAAGTTTTTTGTGCTGCTCTAAGCCTTATTTTCCTTGTGCATAGGCTTATGATCAAGGCTATAAAAACAGCAAAGGTCATAATTTTCAGATGAAACTTTGTGATTTACATTAGAAGCGCTAACAACTCCAGAAAACTGCTGTAGGGTATTTGGTATTCGGCTCTGTATCCTGCAATACTCCAGTATGACATCATGTCTTTCGGCAGATGGGCCACATCACACAGGACCTCAGTGGATATGTTCACATTGTGCTTAGCTCCTTGACAATCTCCCAGGTAGAGGTCACCTAGCTACCTTGCTCTCCCAGTTTTCCTTTGAATGAAATCAGCTAGCTCTGTTCACATCAAAGTATGAGGGCAGCTGTGTGGATAGCTAACTACCAACCCTTCCCCAAAAATGGCACAGACCAGCCTGCACTCTGTAGGTTCTGCTCAGTGTAGCTCTCCAACACTATTGCAAAAACCTCACATCCTTTCTGTCATACTACAGAACTTGCAGCACATCCTTTAAGATTCATATAATGAAACCTCCACTCCAAAAGACTGAAACACAAGTTATACGATACACTTTGGAAAAACACATAAAAAATAGGAACTTGTAAGGCTGCTCTTGTTGCTGTGTGTATACAGAATATAACACTACAAATCCATTTGCTACTAACACAAGGTTGAAAGCAAAATGTAAAAAATGCTTGTAACAAATCATGAATAGTTACTTGGATTTCTGCATCTCTTCCTGAAATCTTAATTCTGGCATGTAGCCACCATGTGGTGTCAATAGCCCAATTGGTATTTTTTTTTTTCGATTCCCAGCACTTCCCCGGGGGCTCCACTCCCCAAGGTTACCTAGCTGCTGTATTTTTTTCAATTACCTCATCCAGAGGATTTCCTGTTTCATTAATCAAAAGAGTCATTATCACATTTTTATATGCTGGGGGAGCAGTCTTAATCAGTTTATTTCTCACAGTAACAAACAGGGATTTTGCATCAGAGTG